AATCTTTTTGTATTTGTTGAGGTTTGTTTTGTGCCCCAGTCTATGGTCGATTTTGGAGAAGGTTCCATGGGGTGCTGAGTAGAAAGTATATCCTTTGGTGCTTGGGTGGAATACTTGGTAGATGTCTCTTAAGTCCTTTTGATATATGGTATTGTTTAAATCAGATATCTCTCTGTTAACTCTATGCCCTATTGACCTATCTAATGGGGACAGTGGGGTATTGAAGTCCTTTACTATTAATGAGTTGGGATTAATCTGGGTCTTAAAGTCCGGTAGTATTGTTTTTATGAAGTTGGGTGCAGAGTTTGATGAATATATGTTCATGATTGTTATATCTTCTTGATTTATTGTTCCTTTGATCAGAATGAAGTACCCCTCTTTATCTCTTCTAATTAGTTTTAGTTTAAAGTCTATTTTGTCAGATATTAGAATTGTAATGCCTTTTCTTAGTACCATTTGCTTGGTATATTTTTTTTTCCATTCTTTCACTTTAACGTAGTGCCTGTCCTTGAAAGTGAGATGAGTTTTTGGCAGACAAAAAAAGATGGGTTTTGTTTCTTAATCCATTCAACTAGTCTGTGTCTTTTGACTGGGGAGTTCAGTCCACTGATACTTAGAGTTATTATTAAAACATATGAATTGATTGCTGTCCTTTTGTTTGCATTCTTGGTTTAATTTTGTTTCCACAATTATACCTTCATTTAGTTTCTTTCTGTTGCCCCTGGAGTATAGTTGTTCCTTTCTCCATTCTTTGTATTGCTTCAAGTATTCTCTGAAGGGGTGGTTTTGTGGATATGTATTCTTTTAGCCTATTTGTGTCATGGAAGACTTCTCTTTCCCCTTCAACTGTAACAGACATTTTTGCTGCCTTTTGGCTTTCAGAATTTTCTCTTTGTTTTGTGCATGTAGTGTTTTTACTATGATGTGCCGTGGAGAGTTTCTTTTCTGGTCCTGTCTGTTTGGTGTTCTGTATACTTCTTGTACTTGTATGGACATGTCTTTCTTTAGTTTTGGACAATTTTCTTCCACGATTCTGTTGAAGATCTGGTCCATGCCATTATCTTGG